TTGTCTCTATGGATAGCGCGATTCTTCCGTTTCAAATTTGCCGCCTCGGCCGGCTGAACCAGGCAAGAGCTCGGCCGGCTGAACCAGGCAAGAGCAAGCCCACAGCAAGCCAAAGTGTAAAGGTATCACAACAGTTTCCGATTGGCGACGCGCGTCACGTGACTGTACGGCGGCTCCGCATTGGTCGCCCGTGCGGTCGCTTGTAGCAATCGGCGCAAAGGTCGTCTGCTCTACGCCCTGACAGCGCTGACGGGCCGCTTACTGCATTTGTTTTCAACTCGTCGCGGCGTGCTTTCGTGCGGTCGCTTGTAGCAATCGGCGCAAAAGTCGTCTGCTCTACGCGCTGACGGGCCGCTTACTGCATTTGTTTTCAACTCGTCGCGGCGTGGTTTCGAGATCGCATCGCGCTGCGATAAGACCAGCGCTCCTGAAAGGAGAAAAACGTTGTTATCCAGTTTGGCGCATTGCAGTTTTGAGATCGGTTCCCGCATGCGATCATGGACCGGCGATCGTTCAAGAAGAAACGCAAGACTGCGCAGCGATTTGGTGCTTGTAAGCCGAAGCCGCCGATAGTGAAAAAGAAATTCAGTCCGGCAACTTTTGCGAGCAGCGACGACGGTGTGCGGCACGACGAGGACTCGCAGCCGAGCACAAGCATGCACGGAGCATCGTCCGCGAGCATCGACGAAACTGTTCATATGCCCGTGGAGCAGTGCTTTGTGCTGTCTGAGGAAACATCCGTTCGTCGTTCCGCGCAAGCTGCAGACATCGCGGATGCTAAGCCTAGCACTTCGCCCGAGGATGTATTCATCGCGGATGCCCAGCCAAGCACTTCGCGCGAGGATGTAGACGCCGCGGATGCTAAGCCTAGCACTATGCGCGTGGATGTAGACATCGCGGATGCTCAGCCAAGTACTTCGCGCGAGGATGCGAGGCCGTCTACCAGCACCACCAGTAGCACGATTCAGACACTAAGGACCGCATTGCAAAGGACACTAAGGACTACAACCCTGGTGCCTATTAGGCATGTAAACCGTGACTCAAGACTTTGAACCTCGTTTTCTCAATACTGTTTTTTTTGGCATGTTGCTCAGCTCGTGGAGCAGATATCTTCGCAACTACTTGACAGATTTTGATTCTGTTTTTTTTGTAATGCTCCTTGAACTGTGCTTCAGGGGGCTGCGTTCTTATTTTTAAAATTTAGCTTTTTAAAAATTTTTTGTAGGGTTTCTTGTTTGTAGTGCAAATGTGCTCATTGAAGTATCAGTGGAGAAAACATGAGCTACAAATTTTAGTGTTGCAAAAAAATTATTTTGAAAACGCAGCCCCCTACAGCATACATTCACCTCTGCACACAGTGTTTACCAACTTTCTATGTCATTTTTTAAACTCTCCAGCCGCTCCACGAGGTCCAGTAATGAAATTATTTGTTTCTCAGAAAGTTTTCATGATATCATCTTGAAATTTTTATGGAAGCATTATGAGTTCATTCTTAGTCTCTGTGCCAATTTTCATCAAGATCTAACCAGAAACAAGAAAGTTCGTTCCGAAAGGCACGCCCCCCCTTAATAAAATGTTTAAGGACACTATAAAATTTTGAAATTTTCCAGAAATCACCAGTGAATATTCAGGGCTAAGAGACTGCGACGTAGAGACTTAATAACTTTGGGTAAAATTTAGATACTAGCATGAAATTGCATATTGCACTATTTGAATAGTCAGCAATATACAGGTTCAATTACAGTCAAACCTCGTTATAACGAAGTTGAAGGGGGAGTCGTAATTACTTCGTTATAACCATTAGTTCGTTATAGCCAATATCCATTTCTACCGACAATTAGCCAGCAAGAGAGAATGTACTCACCACCGAATATCACAGCAGCCCGCCGCGCAGAGAAAAACGGCCGTCGGAAGGCAAAAAACTAGCAAAATAATAAAGAACAATGCACTTTATTTCCGCCAAGTTCAGCACACCAGCTGGCAGATCACTTCGAAGAAAAATAGTCCTTGATAGACTTTTGCCGACTCTTCTTCAAGCGGATGACTGCTCTTTCAGCGGCAGCCGCTATTTCAAGTCCGTCCTCACCGTCATCATGAGCACCAAAGAAGCGGCGCAGCAGGTCTGTCACATCCAGCGCTTGCGCGGGCGTCGGTACGTCGGGTTCGTTAGGCTCCGGGGTGTCAACACATTCGTCACTGTGATCATTATGCACCCCCGTCACCGCGCGCACAATTTCCGCATCTGACAACTCTTCGGTTGTCACCGCGTCAGCATCGGCACCGACGTTTGTGCAGAAAGTGTCGCAGTCAGGCACAACGCCGGCGTCAAGGAGAGCGTCCCACGATGTCTGGGCCTGGTCGCCCGCGGCACCCTCACTGGCGACATCACCGAGATCTTCGCTGGGCTCTCCGCTGCTGACGCCAAATGAGGCATGCCGGAAGCAGTTGGCGATCGTGCTTGCCGTGACGGCAATCCAGGCAGCTTGTAACATCTCGATCGCCATGTACAGGTCAATCGTTGTCTCGCGCTTCATGCTCATATTGAGCAAAATGCGGTCGATGACACGCTTGCGGTAGCTCGACTTAAAGTTCATGATCACCCCTTGATCGAGGGGTTGCACAACCGCAATAGTGTTAGCCGGCAAAAAGCACAGCTCAATGTTTTTTAACACAACGGTAGTGTGGTGGGCCGCGCAGTTATCCAGGACGAGGCATATCTTGCGGTTCTGCTTGCCCAGCCGCTCGTCCCACTCACGCAGCCATTGTGCAAAGATCTCTCTCGTCATCCAGGCCTTGTGGTTGGCCACATAACTCACTTGGAGTTTCCGCTTTCCTTTGAAGCATCGTGGTGATGCACTTTTGCCGATCACGAGGGTCGGCACCTTTTCGGACCCGTCCATATTCGCACAAAGTAGCACGGTCACACGGACCTTGCTCTGTTTACCGCCCTGGCAGCGGTCACCTTTGAGGGCCAAGGTTTTTTGCGGCAACATCTGATAGAACAGGGCAGTCTCATCTGCGTGGAACAAATCCCTGGGGCTGTATTTTTCGAGCAGCTGCCTAATGTTCTTCTTGATCCACGCCACTGCAGCTTCGCGGTCCACAGATAGCGATTCCCCGCTGACAGTCCTGCCGACGATGTCGTGGCGCTCCTTGAAGCGCTGCAGCCAGCCGTCACTCGCCACAAAATCATCGTGCCCCATGATGCACGCGAAGTTCCTTGCCTTCTGCTGCAGAAGTACCCCGCTCACAGGAGTGCCGCTTGCTGTGATTTCTAAAAACCAGTTGAACACCGCCTTCTCGACAGCTTCGAAGGCGGGGGCTCGCAGCTTCATTCGGTCGCCTTTGACGCCACGTGCGACAGCGTCGGCAATAGCTTCTCTCTTGCTTAAGATCGTTGACAGCGTGCTCAACGATACGCCGAAATCTTCGGCCACTTTTTTTTTCTTTACGCCGGACTCAACGGCTCTCAACATTGCAGACTTCTGCTCAATTGTGATGATTTTGCGCTTACGTTTGCCGTTGTCCATGTCTAGCGGCGGAGGGGTGTTGCTCTTCCACAGCGCACGACAAGGAACCAAGCACAAAGCCAACAAAGCCGCAATCTCCGCCGACCCAGCGTGGAGCTGAGGGAAGGAGGAGGTCAGATGCGCGGGCGAGTCAACGAGTTCCACAGGAGAGGGGAGGTCGGCTGACGCGCACGCTCGCGCGAGTTGCTGCGCGGGCGAGTCCATTAGTTCCTGAGGAAAGGGGAGGCAGGGCGACGTGCACCCACGCGCGTGTTGGCAGGCGGCGCAAGGCGCGAGTTTTGAATTACCGCTGCTGTGATGGGACGTGAACCGGCGCGCGCTATAAGATATTGAATTCACGTATACCAAAATGATCAGTAAATGCTCGTTGTGGTCAAAGAATGGTTCGTTATATCCATTGTGAGCAAATTTTCGCTTCGTTAAAACGAGGTTTTAAATACATGGGCGTCTATGGGAATTTCAAGGGGAATTACAATTGCTTTGTTATATCCATTAGTTCGTTATATCCCGCTTCGTTATAACGAGATTCTACTGTATATCTTTTTTGATGCATTACCTTCTATGAAAGTCACATCCCAAATTCATAAAATAATAGATGTAACTTTTTTGGATTAATGTAAAGAAAATGTAATTATATATTTTCAATTAGTGTACAAAGCTGAATATTCACTGAAAAAATCATGTCTCTCGGCCTAATACTAATATATTTATCTATCAGGTCCCATGTTCCCCCTTAAAAGCTACGGAGAACTGTTTTCATTCATTGGTTGAGAACCAGAAAAAAGCAGCTCGCAGCCCAAATAGATTCACAGGAATACAGAAAAACAAAACATGAGGCCGCCCACGGCACAAGGCTAGAAATAAACAAAAGAACGCCGATGACTGCGACGGTGATGGAGACAGTAGACTTCGGTTGGCCATAGTGGCCAGACTTCCAGAGTTTTTCTGGGAGTGACCAATATGTAAGACAAGGGTTGCCTTTTTGTGGCTGTTTTAAGCAAAAAGAATTCCACTTATATTCTGGTTTCAACAATACATTAAATAAAGTGGAAACATGTACGAGTACTCTTGTGTGTTTGCATGCACATGTGGTTGCATTTTCTTTTATGTACTCGGTATGAAGTAAATTGCCCATGCACTGCTATACCAAGGATAAAGTTTTTTTTTCTCTGGCACACAGACCAGATGTGCAGCGAAAATCAGCACATTTGGCGATGAAATTTCGGCGAGTTCAACCCTTCCAATGTTCATGCGTGCACCTCTTACGTAGAAGCCTCCTAGTGTTCTGTTTTTACGACTTCATTAAAGTGAGAGTAAAAGATTGCAAGAGAGATGCTATTGCATTTAAAACCTGAATTTCTGAACTTTCATGACAGCAGCCGAGCTCACATGCACATGGCAAGTTGTACGCAATGGCAGGAAGAAACTGTAGAAGGAAGAAACCACAAGCAGGGAGGAAAGGTCATTCACCTGGTCGAAGCTGACGCGTCTGCGGCAGAGGTGGCCGAGGTGACCGCGGCGGCCCGGTTGTCCCTGCGGAAGTGGGCCACCCGCTGCAGCACCTGCTCCACCTGGGCCTCCCGGGCCGGTGAGCTGCCGCGCGGCAGCAGCTTTACCAGCTGGCTGTGCGGCAGGGGTTCCACGCAGAGGAGCTGCACCACCTCGCGCTGCAGCCGGTCTGTCTCCGTTACCGCGCCCACGCCAGGCAGGCTCCGCTCGCTCACCAGCGTCAGTATCAGGCCTACAAAGGGAATGGGGAAATACAGCAAAGATGCCTCGTCACTTCTTCAATTCATGAGGAATCAAGGACCTTTAAGGTCCTGTTAAGAAATATGTTAATACAATCGTACCTCAATTAACCAACACGGATAAAATGAAACATTGGTTATAGCGAAGTAATTGAAGAATAGTCTTACAATACAGCCTTAATAATATACCTCCATAACAAATTTTCAGTTATAACAAACTTAATGTTGAGTGAGATGCAACTTTGTGATGAAGATGTTTGGGTGTACATATTTCAGAGATTGCATATCTTTTGTTTTAATGCAGCCACTAAAAATCTAATTCGATATTTGGAATCTGCAGAAAAAACTGAATAAGCATATCATATTTCATTCAGCGCACTCAACTATTACAAAAGGTTTTTCACAACCTAGAGGCAAGACCTCCACGTCCCCACATGAGAGGCGCCTGGGCTCGGCCAACTAAAATGCTGCTTTCAATTAAATCCTGTTTTCCCTTAATAAGCCAGGGCCTTAACCTCCACTCTGTTTGACCCACCGAGGAACTCCTCGGCGATGGTCACAGTCAGCTGGGCGTTGGCCTCATCCTGCGTGCTGTCGTACGTGTTGGAGGCCCACGCCAGCAGCCCGTACTTGTTGAGCACGTGGATGAGGAACTCGTTGCTCTCCAGAAGCGCTGCGGCTGCCTGCATACACAAGAAGTCCGGTGAGACAGTTTGACAAAGGACACCCACTTGAAACAAGAGGATTACACGAGTGAACGCGATATCACCCTAAAATTCAACTCATTACAGTTTCCAGATTGCCCCCTTTTGCCTGCCTACCTCTGGTGTTTCAACAATCAACACCTGCCCTGTTGTGGCCCAAAACAGACTTGCCTGCAGGAGGGTTATATCACGGTCATACGTCTCATTTCGGAGGCGCACGTTGTGGTAGAAGTAAATCTGGTTGAGCAGAGAGTAGCCGTTGCGACGCCACATCCCGGCCCGGAACTGGGCCACCATCACCTGAGCAAGCGAGAGGGCACAGCAAAGAGTGAGAGTAGCACAAAACTTGCATGTAATCAACTGTCACAAGTGGAAAGAGATCACAAAATATTCACACAGTTGCACTCAAACCTGAAAGCTGCATGAAGTGCGGAGCAATGGTTCGCTTGTCCTTTGGCAACTAACTTGCAGAGCACGTGCAAAGGGACAGACAGTGTGACATTTTATGCTTGACAAAAGACACCTGAGTAGAAGTAGCCCAGGACAAACACAGCCCGCCAGTGTCGCTGAAGAATCTGCATTCCTTCAGCGAAGTTCGCATGTGCGGGCTAGAGCGCCCTGGCGTTACAACCTAGCAGCCTGCTAGGCCTCCATGGCAATAAGAGAGACCATTTATGATGCAGTGGTGACCTCTCTCCCTCCTCCTTTTTCTCCTCTTCCACACCAATCCTTCTGGCCCTCATTTTCCTTTTCAGTCTAAATGTGTAAAAACCGACTAACTGTGTAAAAGCGACTAGTGTAAAAACCGTATTTACTTGCTTAATGAACGCACTTTTTTTTCCTCGAAAAGTCAAAGCAGAGTTGGGGCTGTGTTATTATCCTGGGCAAATTTTATGGAAACTTTTTGGGATGAGCAGGAAATGTGGTAATGAAAAATAAAGTTGGGTCACTTAGCCTTTCGCAATTGACATATGCGTACACTGTTTCGAAACAGCTTTTTTGTTGCACTTTACTCATCTTCGGTGGTTGATGGTGCTATCTTCTGCAAGCTGTCTCCGCGCCACCTGTGCATGCCATAAAAGCGTTTCAAGGCTAACTTTTCTCGCAATCACTTCACCTGCAACAGTGGTATCTGCTGTGATCTTGAGGGGCGGCAAAAAGCGTGTGCTACGACACACTCTGCAAACTTTGCCGCAACCTCGCACGACGACCACGCCACCGCCGCCGTTGACATTGTACAGTGAAATCTCGGTAGAATGAACCCCACAATAACGAACTTTTCAGATTAATGAACTTTTAAAAAATTCTGCGCTGTATGCTAATAGCCACAATATAAAATTATTTCACTACTACGTACTTCAGAATACCAAACTTTTCAGAATAATGAGCATTAATTTAGTTCCATGTTATACTAACAACACCTCAGTACTACGAACTCATGTTCTGAAATCCATCACTACCACCGGAACGGTACGGAAGCAGACGACAAAGCGAATGGACACCTTGCGTTTGGAAAGACGCGCGACGGTGTGTGGAAAGGAAAAAAAAAACGAAAAGGCCACTTTCTTTTCTTTCTTTTTGTTGAAACGCCAATGCTCCAAAGGCGAGGGGCGAGGGCAACATGGGAGGGCAAGGTCAGCGGGGCAGAGTGGGAGTTGCGGAGTAGGAAGCATGGGCGCGGAAAACCTGAAATAGCGAGAGAGCAGAAAACTAAACACGAGGAATTTTCTTTTTTAGCACTTTTTTTCTTCGGAAGAGGCGATGGCAGCCGCAACGCTTCGGGTTTTTCTTTCACATGTGCTCTAGAAAACCTTGTTTTTCAGTCGTGTTCATCTCTTTTCGGTGATTACTTATCGCATCCGCAAAGCAAGTCAGCGTTCGCGCTGTGGTGCTGCTACAAATGAGTTCATCTCTGCTTGCGACAAAGAAGTGGAAGCAGTTCTCGCTAAGCAAGAAAGTGGATATTCTTCGGCAACTGGAAGGCAAAAAGCAGGCTGTTGTGACCAAAGAACCAAATCGCACCACAAGAATGTGGATAAGCTGGAGGCCTTCGCGCCGCAAAGTATGTGCTGCACGCGTAAAAAAAAAAAAGAAAGAGAAAAAGATCACGAACTTCTTTAAAGTAAACGTGCATTTCTTAGTGTACACTTGTGCATTTGTTTTTTGTTGCAGAAAAAGTCGTTTTGGTCGGTGGAAAATAAGTATTCATGGTCAATTTTCGGACTTTCATTATAATGACCTGTAGCGAGAGGAAGACAAGACGGCGGCCAACGTGGTCGTGTCGTTCTCTCGCCACTTTATTCCACGCCAGAAGCGGAGCCGCGGTGGCTGTCCACGTCCGCTACACCAAGTGCGCTAGCTTGTTCTAATCCTCGCGCAGCTCGAGCTAGCATCAGCTGCGCGAGGATTAGAACAAGCTAGCGCACTTGGTGTGTCGGACGTGGAAAGCCACGCGGCTCCGCTTCAGGCATGGAATAAAGTGGTGAGAGAACGACACGACCACGTTGGCCGTCGTCCCGTCTTCTTCCTCTCTCGCTACAGACCTTTCAAAATAACGAACGAATTGCTGCAGCCCCCTGAAGTTCCTTATACCAAGATTTCACTGTAGCAAGTAACCAACATTGCAGCAAGCTACCATCTAAGCATCAAAACAAACCGTCAATAACAAGATTAAAGACAAAATATGGCCCCTGCCTCGCTTCCACGTAAGAATTTCCTGTAGAAAAGGCAGACTATATCTTGCGTTCCTTGAAGTACACTGGATAACAAGCATGATGAGCAAAGTGCAACCAAAGCGAGAATCTAGGTTGCTCCCAATGTTGTGGAAATTATCACGATCTTCTCTGGGTGACGAGCAGTTTTTTGTGGTTTTCCAAAAACCTGCGATGTGATGGCAATGAATGACCTTTCGCGACAGCCATGGTGACAGCAAATCTTGTCGTCATCGCTCGAAAATGGCACGCATGTGGTTGGGTTGGGCCTTAAAGTTTCGTATTTGCAGGAAGCACCCATCAGTTGGCGCGGGCTGCTTCGAGAGCTTTGCTAATTGTGTGCTTACCAGCTGCAATGTCTCTACACTCACACAGTTTATGAACCCCGCTGTGGCGCACACATAAAAAAGATGGAAGTGTCGCACACAGATAGGAAGAAAAATAATACGGGACGCGGCAGCGGGCAGGAGGGAAAACACCGAGGTCACCGAGGAAAGTCCGCGCAATAATAAAAAAACGGAAGAGATCCAACGGGCAAGAAGGTGCCAGGTGTCGGTTAGCGGGACTGCAGCGGATAAATGTAGGGGGTGCGTTTATCACGTGGGGAAAAAAAAATCCAAATTTTGACGACTAAAGTTGGGGGTGCATTTATTGCGCGAGTGCGTTCATTACGCGAGTAAATACGATATGTCCAATCGTATAATACTATGCCAAGCTTCACCCTCAATTCACTTTCCCACACCCTTACTATGCCATACTGTGGGTTAGTAATGCTATACACGATTTTGTCTGCATGACGCCACATGTGGTTAAGCTACGCTTACCCTGTCCTTCCCTCCTTCCTGTCCTCCTCACCCTGAATTCATTTTCCTACACCCTTACTATGCATGGCTACGCTATGCATTGTTTTCCTGGCTTTTAGGTCGCTTCTTGATACGCATCCATCGCCAAGGTATTTAGGACCGTCACCTCAACAAGCTTGATCTAGAAGGAGCAACATCAGCTAGCTAACAAGGTTGTTTTTGATATCTGAATATTTTCACGTTCTTGGCCACAAGAAACATTCCCGATATGACGTACAGCCTGCACACTTCACCCGGATTTTCTGCACTTGGGCACAGGCCTAGAGAACGCAGAATGGACGCAACGCAGCTACATTCTCCGTGGAAAATAACTATCCATCGCAACAAAACCTGCTCCATTGCCGTTACATGGTTTTGATTCTTGTTTTTACACCCAAGCAATTTTTTAGCTCAATTTAATCAGGAAGATGATGCGTCTTCCGTTCTAAATGTGAGAATAAAGATTCGCTCGCACCTCTTCAAATCAACTGCTTAGCTGTCACTTTTAAAAATAATGAAAGCTACCTTCCTTTTGAGAAGTGCACTACACAGGTTTATGCCGTGGTCTTATTTAGGCTGTCTGTACCTGCTTTTGGGGCAAGCAGGAGCATCACTGCCTTTATTTAGTTCATTTATACGACGCCCGGATTGGACAACAGTTTTGTGCGGTCCCCTCAAAGTCGTATATAATTGAGGTTCCACTGCAATGATGGCTCTGCTTTAACTGTTGAAGTTAAAACTACGCCGATATAACATGAAATGTACACATTGCAAACAAAACTACAGTAGACTCTCAGGAAACGGGAATCTGTTAAATGGAGCTACTGCTTAAACGAAACTATTGCCTCTGCAATGCTTGGTTTCGGGCTGGTATTCTGCACCCATGTCCACGTCTCAGTAAACAGAACTCCTGTTAAATGGAACACAAGGTGGGCAAGACGGCAGCAGCAACAGCACAATGCTCACACGGTGCTTCATTATTGTGCAGTTTCTGGCCCCCCTTGTGGAATGCCCGGAACATTGCCAGGACAGCGCGGTAGTTTGGAGCGTGTCATTGGCGCCAACCAACACGCCGATCACCGCAGATGCATGCAGTCTGCCCTTCTGGTCCCTCCCCTGAAAGATTGCCCTGGTACAGCCATGGCGCCTGCGCTATTCCCAAGTGTCTACGTGTATATCGATCAGATGAACAAACCTTCGCCAAGCCCAGCTCAGTGACTTCATCCTCATCGGATATAAAAGGCTCCCGGCAACAGCGCAGCTTCAGTGGGCAAGATGGCAGCAGCGACAGCACAATGCTCACACGGTGCTTCTTTATTGTGCAGGTATGTTGTTTGCCCAATGCACGATGTATCCGTTCAAATAACCGTTTCTTGCTGCTGCTATATTGCCCACAAACTGACATTTCTTTATTTGTTTCCATTTATGCTCAACTTGCATACTGTGTGAGTTGCCTTGGCTTGAGTGGAGAAGTTAAGATGAACCCTGGGCCAAGGGGTGGTAAGGGTACTCCTACTAACAATTCTGGCACTAGATCTGTTGTATCTGCAGTGTCACCGTCCGGCATTGTGTGTGGCGACAATAGTGTCATGTCATCCTTTGACAGTGAAACTTCCATTTCTGCCATGTTTTCCACTCTGCTTGCTGGACAAAACAAGATAAAACAGGATATTGCTGCACTTCATTATTCCGTAAATTCGCGTTTTGAAGCTGTTGAGTCACGTCTTAATGCTCTGCAGTCATCCAG